AAATTGGCCCTGTCAACACTGGTTCTCTACTTGTGAGGTAACTCCCCTCTCTTCATGTGTCAGTATAATAATGCCTGCATCTGTAATTTTCACTCCATGCATCTGACAAAGTGGGTCCTAACCCACAAAAGCTTATGCCCAAATAAATCTGTTAGTCTTTAAGGTGCCACCGGACTCCTTGCTGCCTCATTCAGTGCACTGGATGGTGCTCACTGAATGAGTTAGCTATTGAATATTTTGTTTTATTCTCATTGGTCAGTATCTGGCCCCATGCCTCATTTACTGCACATCACTCAATTTCTCATTGCTTAAGTTTTTAAGCTCAGTTGTACATTGCGCAATTTTACTTCCATATAGTTAAAACATTCAATAAGTCTTTGTATCTGAATAAGTTGTACAACAGGACTTCAATTAAAAATCCTGCTATTTCAATAGTAACCATGTCACTATGCATCATTTAAGTACCAAAAAATAAAAAAGTTAGTATTGGAAATCAGAGCTTCTCCCCCCCAGCAAGAACAGTGCTTAATTATATCTTCATCACAAGCTATTTTACAGTTCCTAAAATTCAGAAAAAAGTTTACTAATTAAAATTCATGTTTTGAAATGAATTAATTCCAGCTACTTGTAGTGACTATTCCCACCCACCTAGTTTGAAACAACGAATTCTGAACAAAAACAGGGAGGACACTAGTCTGCATTTTGCTTCAATAGCAACATTCAGTACTAAACTGGAAAAAGGAAGCAATGCCCCAATAGGTCACCCATTCCTCATGAACAATGACAGACCCTTATTTTGAGATATAAATGCAAGAGTTCCCTTTCTCTGTGAGAAGTACAAATGAAATCTTGTCAGCCACTCTCTTGAGAGGAACTTTGACAATGCTTCTGATTTACTGGCCTGTCAGATCTCTCTGAAGTTTGTTAGCAGCTTCAGGCAGGAAAAATGTTTCTTGGCTTAAACCACCAAATGGGAGGAGACTAGATTTTTAAACTTTTTTCCCCCACTGGATTATCCAAGCTAAACTGTATTTTCCAAACAAAAACAAACAAACTCACTTCTCCAAGAACAAAGCCATTTACCATTCAGGTACTTAAATGTAATCTTCCAAAGACAACTATGAGATCCAAGAAACTCAAGCATCTGATATGATGGGAATGAAAAAAAAATTAAACACCAGTAGTAATAATTTAACATGTTTAGTTTCCAATGGCTGAATCTAAAATGGACATAACTTCGCAAACAAGGTAAGTGTGGAAGAATTTTATTAGTTTTAGCTGGAGTTTTGTTTTTTTCCTTTTATAAACTCGTTATACTAATGGCTCAAGAATTAAGATGAAGTTTAAGGTTAAACACTATGTATTTTCATTTTGTCAATCTAATATAAGAATGACAAAATGAAAATACATATTGTTTAGCTGCACTTTAGCTTCATCCATTGCACATGAGTAGTGCATCATGTTCTGAAAATCTATTTTCTCTTCTAGCACCCTAGTCATATTCACATACAATGAATTGAGTTAGAGATGAAGTAGCAGTGTTGGCCCTCAAATTCTTCTGCCTTTATTGCTTCCTACTCAACCATTAACCTTATTTTCATGTGTAAACTGGAAATTAAAGGCTTAAAGTTTACCTCTGTAGAGGCAGCACTGTTGGGAGTGGAAGCCAGAAATTGCGAAATACCAATCCCAACTGCAATCAATTTATTGTGTTACACTATGAAAGTGATTTAGGCCCCCACGACCCAGATCGGTCTTCACCACAGAGTTAACTTGAGTTCTTACTTGGGCATTGTCCCTCCGCTGCTTCCCATCCACACACAAAACCCTTTCATTTGAGGTTTAGCAGTGCTTTAAACTCAGGTTAGCAGGCCCAGCTGAAGGTATGGGTTAGCCCCCGGTGCCACTTTCACGCAGGCTGGTAACTCAGCCTGTATGCACACTGCATGAGGCTGATAATCCTCCAGCACCTTCCCACAATTCCCCGCCCCCCTTGTGCCCAGGACAGACAATTTTACCCACAATTCCTTGGGAAACAATCACAGAGCAGCTCATCTTACTGCAGTCCAAAGAACATGGGATGTGTCCCCAGAAGTCCTGGTGACACACACAGGTGAGTGCAGCACCAAGGACAAACACACTAACTCAGGTGGGGCTTTGCAGTGTAGCTGCTCACACCCAGGCTAGGCCAACCTGCGTGCTCAAACCCTAGTGCTGATCACCCAGGCTAACTGTGCAGTGAGAGCATGCACTTCAGCTGAAATACCAGCTACCTCACAGGGTTTTTGTGAGGATTCATTAATCTTTATTAATGAAAGTGTAAAGTTAATAGTCAAAATGTAGCAGGATTAAAGGAAAACCACTCCGAATTTCACAGGGTACAAGTGGCCTTTTTTTATGGTTGTCTGCAACATCTGAATTACAGGTCCAGTTCATGAACTGCATCATTGCCCCCTCTCCCACTTAATCTAGTAAATGAACAAAAAGCAATGTTAATCTTTAATCTCTTTTCTGTTAAAGTATCCTGTATAATTAAACACTTCTTAACTCTCAACCTCTCACACTTTATTTACTGCAATCTAATTTAAAGGGCGTAAGTGCCAGGGGCACAGGCATCATCCATGTAAACAAACAGTGAATATCCTGAATTCCATACTGTACCTCAGCTGAGCCCTATATTCCATGCTATTGCTTCTGTTTGAGATACAGACTTCCTTTAGTTCTGTCTTTATACTGCATCTTCTGATGCCTCACACCCTACCCAAAAGGATAAGAACTAGCATGTTAAACTCTTCTGAACTTCACTGGGAAGCTGTAATCTCTATCCCTCTGCTAGCCTCCTATAACAAAGGGGGTATTTTACTTCTCAGTGGCTGACACTGTATCATGACAAATGACCACTGACCAGTGTTTGAGTTTCTAACTCTTATTCAGCTGCACATAGCTGCCATCTCCTGGTTTAAGTAAGTTTAATTTTATGTGGCCTCTGGGAAGACATACTGCAGCAGTTTCAGTGAACACTGTACAGGGGTCAGTCAAATACTGCATTTCCTAACCAGAATGCTATGAACAGATCTATATCATTATACAGATGAGAGGTTAACCATTTTGTTCTGTTCAACCAAGCCAAAAAGGTAGTGATTTCTTTTCACTTCCAATCGGGGGTGCTGTTATGCCTCCAACACACAACTGAATACCTATAGGTACGTCAATCTGCCCTGCTGTGACATTACAGTTGTCTTTTGGAAGCTATTCCAGGAGTGGTATCACAGCACTGGTCAACTAGTGTTTTTACCTGTGCGGCTTCATGGCCTGAATTATTTATTTTGGGGAGTGGCACTTGCATGAAGAGCATAAGAAAAGAACACGGTGTTACCTACTGATAGGGCCACTTCAATAGTTTTGCTCAATCATCAACAGAGCAATCCGTCAGAATAACAATGTCCTCCCTCAAATGCCTCCAGAAATGCTCATGTCACCTCAGGTTCCTAGACTGGACCATCCAAAAAAACGTTCATCGCTGCAAGAGGAGAGGTACACCTCATCCTCAAATTGCAAAAGGCAATTACAGGCCTGTGATAGGAGCAGTATTTCCAGCTGTCCCAACTAAGACCTACCCAAACACTCAAGAATGTACCCAGCTGTTCGAGTGTAACCTTCAGCCACCTGGAATGACCCGTAGGTCATCACGGTGAGGTGAGAATCTAAGGAGTTGGGGGTGGGTAATGTCTGAGCGCCTTTGCTAGCCGTAGCTACTAAAGCTAGACTGTCTCCTGAGAATTTGCCTAGAAAATTCTAGAGGAAAACAAGGCAGTGTATTGGATTCTCAGAAGTGCTCAGTGCTGGCCTGTTTCTGCACCCATTGACTGCAATGGTTCAACTTCCACTGATTTCAATGGGAGCAGTTAGGCCAATTCCAAGTGTTTTTGGAAATCCCACGCACTCAGAGTCATCTCTTAACTAAACCTAGGAAGTACAGATCAGCTGGTGGTACTGGCAATTTCCTCTCTTTGTCCAACTACAGGGGTAACCTGCTAATTTTACCTAAGACAAATTGAGACTTACCTCTGCATCTGCAGTTTTCCCTTATGCTTCCCTATAGCCTACTACAGGACTTTGGATATTGCCAATTCTGGTGAGCACACTTAGTATTGAAGGCAATCAGTATATTGTAAGGGCCACACAGCATGCGTACAGTATGCCATTTTTTCTCTTCAGCTGCCAAAACCCTAATATAGCAGGAGCATACCTGCTAAATAACCGTTGATGGATTCATGAGTCTCTAGGGCTTTTGCTTCCCATGATAAGCAGCTTCAAAAAATATATATGCCTCTAACCTCAGAGCATCTGTATTTTGGCGGTTTGACTAAGTTGTTATGATTAAATACTATAACCATAATCTGTACGTTGGCCATGTCCTCAAGCCTTTTCAAATCCTTGAATGTCCTTAGTTATAATACAGTAACCAGAATACATACAGTACAGTAAGATCCTGATTATTCGAACAGTCCAGGAAACACCAAATTTGTTTGGATAACAGCCTGTTTAGAAAGGGGCTGATCCAGCTCCCACTGAAACCATGAAAAGTCTCCCACTGAATTCAATAAGAGCAGGAGCAGGGCTACTATCAGGGACCAATAGATGGAGGACTGGTATTAGTTCATTAGATACAGAAGTTGGGCTATAGGGGCCCTATGGACTTCCTTGTAGGATATGAGCAATTTCCATTCAAGTCAATAGATGTTACTTGTATCCTGCTAAGGAGCTCAGGCCTCCAGGTGTTTTGGTTATTAGGGATCCTACTGTACTATACACTCATAGTGTCAACTAAATAAGAAGTTACTTTTGTGTCCTTGCAAATACATCTGTACCCCTTAAAATCTAGAGATGCCCAACAAGCATCACACAGGGGGCTTTAGTGCATCAGCGACTAGCAGAGTACAGTATTTTTTAATTTTTTAAAGACTATAACATTGCCCAGTGTTTGGATGTGTACTGACCTAATGTTCAGCCACGACAGCATGGGCGTTGTGCCTCCACCAATAATCCAGACAGTGAAAAAGACAATAAGAAGGGTTGTTGAGAACATCATTTGATGGGAGTACGTAGCAGTGTCTCGTATGGCCAGAGCAAATGCCATGGCTCCCCTAAGACCTGCACAGAAAGAAAGGAATGAACCAGATGAACTTCGTAAGTCCCAGTGACAGTATTCACAAAACTTTCTTAAACATTCATCCAGTCTAAAAACAAAACCCCAAGACATTGCATAGGAGCCAAAAGAAGGGACTCCCCACTGTATCAGCTTTTTAAAATAACCAAACACCATGACACCACCACCTTATCTGGCCCATTAAGATGTGCAATGTCAGCACTGCAATGCCCTGCACAAACCCCTACTCACCTCAGGCACAGGGGCTATGTTATGATAGGGAGGGGGCACGGTCAGAGTGTGCTGTGCTCCAGCTATGCTCAGCTGGCTATGGTTCCTTACAAACCAGAGTCAGCAGACATAAGTTCAAGCAGCTCTTAGACTGTTCTAACCTATGCCATGGCTCAGGACAGAGCATATCTGCTCTGAAAATGAGGAAGCAGTAACAAGGTACCTGACCGCTTTGTTCTCTGCCACAGCATTTTCATTAACATGGTTATGAGTCCAAAGGTAATTGTATAAATAATAGAGACAAATATTTTCAGAAAATCTTGTGGAAAGAAACTGCCTGCTGACTGAAGTAAAAATACATTTTAGAAATTAAGAAGCTCCCTGCATCCAGAAAGAGCATGCAAACATTTCAATTTGTTCTCACAGCTCTAACACCAGTGTTGCTATAAAAGAGTTGTGAGCTTGGAGAATTCTGGGTAATAACATGCTTCTAAGCACAGCACACCCCACTGTTTCAGAATTCCAGCAGCAAGGCCTACCCAGACAGGCAGCCACGGACCTATTTGTAACAACAGTAAAAACACTCAGTAATTTGTTTTTACTAGCAAGGAAACATGAACATTAGCAGCTCACTTGTGTGACAGAGAAAGCAAATAAAATACTCCCCTCCCCTTTTCTTTACTTTAACTCTTAACTCTAGGTGGTTTTTCCACACTTATATTTCTGACAGCATTGGTCCTGTCATTCCCTAAAGGTAATTTTTTTTTTGGGGGGGGGGGGGGGGAAGAGGGTGAAGGGAGGGAGTGGAATATTGCAAAAATTTTCAGTTCCCCTCCCCTTTTCTATTAGCAAAATTTCAAAACCATGAGCATTTTGACCAATCTTAGTCATAACCATGCAGGGGTCATCCAGCTAATAGAGACCAGAGACGGTCACTCCTGTCAGAATCATGACAGATTCTGATCTATTTGTAAAGAACTGAACTGAAGTTGAAGAATAGGAGACAGACACTGTATAAAGATGCTATGCTAAGTCAATTGCTATAGCACTATTTTAATTAAAACAAACAAAAAACAACCCATCACCCTTCTCCTGTTCAGAAATTGCACCAGAGGATCATTTACGTTTATGTAAAACAGAATTATTGCTTCAAACACTTTTACCTGAAAACATCATCATGTGCTGAAAGTTCCAACTGATCTTGTGCCTTCTGCCCAGATTCAAGAAGAAAGAGAGAGGGTAGATGTGTGCAGCTCTGCCCAAAAAGATTGCAATCTGATCACAGCTGGGGGTTAAGGCTCTACTGGTCTTAGGATAGATACACAGTCACTGACATCTGCTCCATCATCAGGCTACTGAAAACTTAACACAACCTATTCACTGGAGCAAAAGGTAAGTTACTTTTCCTCCTATAAGTGACTTAGAAATGTACATTGACAGTAAAAAGGTCTTCTTACTCATTAGGCTGATTACTTTATACCTTATTGGAGTATAGAAATTTGACATTTAATACATAAATCAAGATTATTTGATACAGATTGAAATATTAAAAAAATTGAAGGATGCAGTCAAACACCTTCAAATATTAACAACTAAACAGACCTCAGCACGAGAACTTAAACTCTGCTTTTTAATACAGCTCAGAAAACTAGCAGGAACCAAAGAGGATTCCCCAGCCCCTTTTATTTGTTCTGAATCAGTTTGTTGAGGAGAGAGGGATGTATGAGAAGAAGGAAGATACAGTCTCCTCCAAAGCACTTTTAAAATACGATATGGTACACAAAAACCTCATTGGTTGCCCATATGGTTAGCTCACACAACAGGGAACCACTTTGATTTGAATACAGCATGAAACAATTCATCAGAAAAGTCCACCCCATTTTCAGATGAGTTCTCCAAAGCCAGAGGGTGACTACTGTAATCTCTGCTTCATTATCTATCTTCCTGATGACTTCTTTCCACTTCAGAAAATCCACTGAGGCCTTTTCTCTCGTACATTTTTAGTTTTCATTATAATTTTATAATCTAGACCAGAGGTTCTCAAACTTTTTTTTTTCCATGGACCACTTGAAAATTGCTGAGAGTCTCAGCAGAAAACTTAATGATCTTTCCAAATGTTGTTTGTACCGTTAGCTAACTACTGTATTGTAAAGCGCTACGGATAAAAGCGCTATATAAAAAAACCCTTAATAATTAATTTTTTTTTCTTCTACAAATAAAAGCACACAACTCCTATTTTAATATCAGTAGTCTTACCTTTCTAACGCGATGGATGTGCCCTCTCTCCCCTACCACAGCAAGTCCCAAGTTGGGGCTGGGAAGGAGGGCAGTCTCTCCCCAGCAGCCGCAGCCCTGGAGCTGGGGAAAGCCGCCTTTTCCTCTGGCCGCCGCAGCCCTGCGTATCCCAAATTCCCCCACCCCCTCTTCTCACCCCACTGCCCCCTCCCACCTACCTCCTATTCCCCCCAAGGCCACCACCTCACCTTATGTGTGTGTCTTCTCCAGGGTTCAGGCAGCTAATTAGTGGAGCCACACCTGCACGGCTCCACTAATGAGGTGGGTGGCCCTTCGTTCTCTTGTGTGCGGCCGCCCAAGTGAGCACCTTAGAGGGAACTATCCACATACCACCTGAATGGAGCTTGCGGACCACGGGTGGTCCACGGACCACAGTTTGAGAACCTCTGCTCTAGACTGTAACATATGCCCATCTATATCCCCAACCTCTCCAGAGCTGAGCATAAAATAAGAGCTAACAGTCAATAGCCAAACAGGGGGAAGGGTTTTTTTTGTTTGTTTTAATATGTATACACTTTACACAGAGGCAAATTTATACGCAGTACTTTGCTATAGTATGTGGAATTTGAAAAAGCTGCATATTAGACAGGGTGAGAGAACAGCAGAGGAAGAAGAATAGGAGATTAAAATACACTAGTGCAGGGATCGGCAACCTTTGGCACGTGGCCCGTCAGGGAAATCTGCTGGCGGGCTGTTCGGCTGATCACAGCTCCCACTGCCCATGGTTCGCCGTTCCGGGACTGTGGGAAGCGGAAGCAAGCACGTCCCTTGTCCCACGCCACTTCCCACAGCTCCCACTGGCCTGAAATGGCAAACCGCAGCTAGTGGGAGCTGCGATCGGCCGAACCTGTGGACGCTGCAGGTAAACAAACCATCCCGGCCCACCAGCGGATTTCCCTGATGGGTCGCGTGCCAAAGGTTGCCAGTCCCTGCACTAGTGAAAGCCACCTTTTAAAAAAAATAAATCACATCCATCCATCCAAAATTTAGGGGATTAGGCACACTGGGAAGGGGACATCTTCCATGAGTCTTGCCATAAAGTTTAATTATGTAATTCCCTCAGGAAGGTTTATATTTTATCATGATGAAGGCTGCAAAAATCATACACATTGTTCAGTTGAGGAGCGAGATAAAACAACCTCCTTAGAAGCAATATTCTCACCTAGACCAGACCAGCCGTATTTTGATGGGCAGATTACACAAAACTACTTAAGATAGTTAAGTCCCCGGTAGACTGCGAAGAGCTACACAAGGATCTCTCAAAACTGGGTAACTGGGCAACAAAATGGCAGATGAAATTCAATGTTGATAAATGCAAAGTAATGCACCTTGGAAAATATAATCCCAATTATACATAGAAAACAAAGGGGTCTAAATTAGCTGTTACCACTCAAGAAAGGGATCATGGAGTTATTGTGAATAGTTATCTGAAAACATCAACTCAATGTGCAGTGGCAGTCAAAAAAGCTAACAGAATGTCGGGAATCATTAAGAAAGGGATAGATAATAAGACAGAAAATATCATATTGCCTCCATATAGATCTATGGTACATCCACATCTTGAATACTGCGTGCAGATGTGGTTGCCCCATCTCAAAAAAGATATATTGGAATTGGAAAAGGTTCAGAAAATGGCAACAAAAATTATTAGAGATATGGAACAGTTTCCATATGAGGCAAGATTAATAAGATTGGGACTTTTCATCTTGGAAAAGAGACGAGTAAGGGGGGGGGATATAATAGAGGTTTATAAAATCATGACTCGTGTGAAGAAAGTGTTGTTTACACCTTCTCATAACACAAGAACTAGGTGTCACCCAATGAAATTAATAGGCAGCAGGTTTAAAACAAACAAACGGAAGTATTTTTCCACACAATGCACAGTCAACCTGTGGAACGCCTTGACAGAGGATGTTGTGAAGGCCAAGTCTATAACAGGGTTCAAAAAAGAACTAGGTAAGTTCATGGAGGACAGGTCCATCAATGGCTTTTAGCCAGGATGGACAGGCATGGTGTCCCTAGCCTCTGTTTGCCAGAAGCTGAGAATGGTGACAAAGGATGGATCACTCGATGATTACCTGTTCTGTTCATTCCCTCTGTGGCACCTGGCATTGGCCACTGTCGGAAGACAGGATGCTGGGCTAGATGGACCATTGGTCTGACCCGTATAGGGGTGTGTTTGTAAGTAAAATAAATGTCAGGCAATATAACATACTTCCTTGTGTTTTAAAACCTGGAGAAGGTCAACTTTACTGAGCCATTTTCTATTTTACCAGAGGTGGATTAAGGACAGATGTGTTCTGGGCTATCTAAAAACCCAATGTCACAAAAACCTAGAACCCTAATTTCATCTTGTTTTATTGAGCCATCGCTGTTCACAGAAAGTTAGCACTCTCTTATTTGGACTCTGGCATGGTAGGTTCTCTGTTATTTACCCTCAGCTAATCAATTTTCCAGGTATATGCAAAGGAGTGTCTAAGAGCATGTCTACACTACAAAGTAAGTCCACGTAAGGCAGCTTACGTCAACCTATGTAAGCGTACACACTACAGTGTCCCTCCTGTCATTGTAACTTGCCCATTACGCCGACCTAGTAAACCCACCTCAATGAGGCGGGAAAGGCTTAGGCTGATGTAGGTTGGGCGATGCAGTTGGTAGGTTGGGCGATGCAGTTGGTAGGTTGGGCGATGCTGGGAGCCGGGAGCTTAGTGCTTGGTGCTGAGGCACTGTCCCTCTTAAGGTAGCATGGACATGACATGAAAAAACGCACTAATTATTGCGGTGGCTGTAAGTCAGCCTAACATATGTTGACTTAATTGTGTAGTGTAGACATGGCCTAACTAATGCAAGATAGTGCCTTGATTTGTCGACGCTGATTTGAGTGGACAACATAATCCTTTAATTCTGAAACACCTTTTCCACCCAGAATATTTGAAGCTTTAAGTTCTGTTCTTATAACTGCAGGGAGTGTAGTGGTCTCCAGCAGATGTGCTATTGAGGAACATAAACCAACGATACACAGCTCTGTTCAGATACATGAGAACCCTGGGGCTTGCATGCCATAAGGTCCTTAGCTCTGCAAGGGCAGATGAAGGCTGTTTTTGAAAGATTTTTGCATCAGCAGCATATTGTAGGAAAACACATCATCTCTTTGAGATGTCCGAGTGGCTGAGGGAAGGCAAAAAAGCATGACAAGTTTTCAGGTACCTAAAATAAATAACTTGTTAGATGAAAAGCAAGAAAGGATACAAAAGCTCCAATGATGAAAATTGGGCTGAATATGTGTTTCTGGAAAGTAAAAAGAGCTAAACCCATGTACGAAAATATGAAGTTTTCAGCAAGGAAGTGCAGTACCTCAAAGAGCTGGGGAGAAAAACATTCACATGGAAAAATTACACAATAAAACTTAAAAAATCAACACTACACCACTTGGCAAGTGAAGAATAGGGTCTCACCTGCTTAGTTCGGCTCCTTGACTCGACTGACAAATTGTTGTATGTATAATGAGCCTGTGTAATTCCACAAAAGAGAACTGCCACCACACCTGCCAATAGATTCACAGACACAAACAGAGCTGGATGATGAAGTTCTTTGCTTACCATCTTAAATCCAGTATGAACATAATTACTTGATTCTCCTGACTGCCTTCTTTATTATTTGTATGACCATTGCACCGAGGAGCTCTAGTCATGGACTAGGTTCCCACTGTGTAAGGTGCTGTACCAACACACAACAAAAAGACAGTCCCTTGCCCTGCCACTTTGCTTATACTCGTGGTTTAACACATTGTTCTTTAGTTCTTGAGGATTTATTCCTCACAGAAAAGGGAAGTTGAAAGATGTTTTTGTTAACCAACCATTTCTTTAAGACTATTAAATTCAAATTTTAGAGCTCTCCAAATGGTCTTCAACAAAATAAATGAGCGGCATGGCTTGGACACACTGCTGGTAACAGACAGCAGAAATCACTTCAATACCTAGGTTTAGGAAACTCAGTGCAGTAGACTGGACTTCTTCTCAGAGAAGATTCATTAGGAGAGGAGAGCTGTCCTTGATTTAAGTCCAAGAGAGAAAAGATATACAGAACACTACATCAAATTATGTTTAGCTGGGGATTTGAGGAACCATTACCAAGCTGTATCTGAAGCTAAGGAGTCTCAAGTTACGTAATACAGAGATGACAAAAGGTGCAAGTAGAATTATTTAGCTTTAGAGCTAGGGTCTGAAGTAGTAACTAAAAACAGAAAGCCAGCTCCCTTGGTAATCAGTGTGGGTATTGCGGTCAACACAAAATTAACAATCAAGATTAACATTTCTTGCTTAGAGCCAAGTTCTAACATGCATAGACTTTGACAGGTAATAAGAAAAGCCCACATCTTCAAGGAGCTGTTTTCCACTGTAGTTTTACCAGTAAGGAAAGTGAAAACATTTTAGCATCAAAATCATGCATCTTATATGAAGTCCTATTAAAACAGATTTAATAAGGTAAGTGAAAAAAAAAGGAGATGGACAGAAGTTTGATCTCTCTGTGCTTGACTCCAAAACATCTCACCTGTAAACCCACAAGCTTCCGCTAGCAAGAAAGTGCTCCAGGACATCAGGAAGAAGAGAGCTGTCTCCAGCAGGGGGAAGCAATGCAGTTTGGTAAACTTGGTCACGTAAACACTTTGTTAAGGGATCAACAAACACCTGGTGATTTTGGCTGAATGTTAGTACCATCATACCTAATGTTTATAAAAAGCCTTTTTGTCTGCATTAGTGTGAAGTGTCAATCCAAAACCAAGACAATTTCAGCATTAAATGCATCAACTCATCTATGTCAAGGCTGAAATATCAGACACTCAAGAATGAGGAAGTTTAAGGTTTCTTTTGCAACAGTAACCTGGCCACCTTGCACATCTTCTGGTATACAGTACATTAGTCACACAAATATATCAAAAAGTTTTACATTTAACCAGACAGACATGACTAGAAATGCTTACTACTACTACCAAAGTCTTACACAGTGCTATGCATCAGTAGATCTCAGAATGCTTTACAACTGAGGTCAATAACTTTATCCCCATTTTACATCTGGGGATGGCTGTAGTGCACTAGCCTACATTGTCTCCCTATGTGCAATATATGTTTGTTAACATTGTGAGAAGCTGTAACCATTTTAAATCTCTCTATTCTGAGTACTCCACTTCTCAGATTTGATACTGAATTAGTGCTTGTTTCTGAATTAAAGATTTTCCTGGGGTGTTTTTTTTTAAATTAATTTTTTTTAAAAGTCCAGAAACATTTTAGTTTACAGCACACCCAGCCAGAGAAGACCATCTGTCTTTTACCAAGGCATCTTTGAAATCTGAATGGAAGAGTTCTGATATATATGCTCCAGTATGCCATCTTTATAACTTTGAAGCTACGGAATCATTTTTCTTCAAAACTTGGCTATTTTTGTAGCCTTTGAGACAAACAAAAATCTCAGCTTCAATGAAGCTGTATTTTTTCATGCCCATATAACTTAGAAACAAACCAGCTGAACCAATTTAACTCAATCTTTCAGGAAAACAAAGATTCATCCTTGACATAAGAGCAAGCCCAGATAATGTCAGCCTAAAAGGAATTTGTTTGAGAAGCTCACAGAGTTACTGAAAGATGGGAAAAAAGAAAAGGAGTACTTGTGGCACCTTAGAGACTAACCAATTTATTTGAGCATGAGCTTTCGTGAGCTACAGCTCACTTCATCGGATGCATACCGTGGAAACTGCAGTAGACATTATATACACACAGAGACCATGAAACAATACCCCCTCCCACCCCACTGTCCTGCTGGTAATAGCTTATCTAAAGTGATCATCAAGTTGGGCCATTTCCAGCACAAATCCAGGTTTTCTCACCCTCCGCGCCCCCCCCCACAAACTCACTCTCCTGCTGGTAATGATCACTTTAGATAAGCTATTACCAGCAGGACAGTGGGGTGGGAGGAGGTATTGTTTCATGATCTCTGTGTGTACATAAAGTCTGCTGCAGTTTCCACGGTATGCATCTGATGAAGTGAGCTGTAGCTCACGAAAGCTCATGCTCAAATAAATTGGTTAGTCTCTAAGGTGCCACAAGTACTCCTTTTCTTTTTGCGAATACAGACTAACACGGCTGTTACTCTGAAACCTGAAAGATGGGAGATTGAATTCAACTTCCATTCTACCTTTAAAATAGCACCTGCTCTAGACCTCAAAATAGTTATGATAGAAAAAACTGGTTGCATTCTTTCATATTAATGTTTTAGGCAATTTCCAGTTTCTGTGCTGGCATCAAACACTGGTAGGCATTCAGGACACTTCATACAGTTGATTGTATCTAAAACGAATATGGGTCCTAAACATCTCTGAGCTTTAAGAGGCAGAATGAAACAAAAGAGCTACTAGCAGCAGCAAAAAGATCTTTAATTTGCTGACGGGTATGGGAGAGGCTGCTCTGGCTATGGCAGGATTCTTCTTTTCTCGTGTCCACAGAAGCCCCTCCTCACAGCTGGAAACCATTGGGTTGAGCCACTGTCAGGTGAGCAAATGTAGAACCAGGATGCAGCGAGTGTATGCAGCGTGCTCCCCCTCAGATTCCAGCTGACATCTATATGGGTTTGTCAGGGCCTTGTTAATACCCACTCTTCACCACTATTATACAATGGCAACATGCGTGCTGAGGAGCCATGGGCCAGTGGTTGAAAACGACGCTGAGGAGCACTAATGAGGAACGGCAATTCCTTCCTCTGGAGAGCCACAAGGTTTGGAGACCATGCTCCCTACCTCTCCCATTGCCTCACAAGAGAAGCAGTCATCCCTGGAAACTCTGCTGCTCTCATGTGGGCTTTACCAGAGAATTCCATGATCATGATGGGGCCATAAGTGATTAACCATGTACCACCACAGGTGGCCAAATGAATGAGAACACTGTATTTCAATTAAAATCCCTTTAGCATTAAGTAGTCCCATTACTTTTATCTCTCAAAGTTATTACATTGTTATTATTGAAAGGCAAGGATAGAGTCTGCAGCATAATCTGGCTGGAGTTAGAGTTAGATAAGACCAACCTCAGATGAAGAAGGCCATTCAATGATGGTGACATTACACCAAAGAATAAGATTGGTATTTTGGCTATTACCTTATTCTTCATATTATTCCCTTCCCTCACCAAAGCCCAAAATATTGTAGAGAGGGCACCGTACTGTGCTTGTATGCACAACAAGCAGGCAGACTCTGCACTTGCAAGGAAATATTATGTGCAATACCCATACAATATTTTTTAAAAAAAAAATCACGTAGTTGAGCGTGGCAATACTGACTAGCTATCAGTCCCTGGGTATCTTACCAAAAAACAAAAGAACAAAAGCAAGTTATTTGCATAACTATTTGAAACAATCAAAACAATTTTAAAAATGGGTAATGCATGACTAAACTTCCCCTATTTATTTAATCGACCCTCAATGACAAAATGGTGCAGAGGCAGGCAAAGTGCTCAAAGCTGTGTCAGTACTGGGGAAAATCAGTCAGAAGCAGAAATTTATGAAGCTTGTGTGTGACTTAACCGTAACGTGTTACTGTTCTTTTATACAAAATTAAAATCTTTATTTTCAGTATTATACTTGGATAAGATTAAATCTTTTGAAGTGAATCTCACTTGTAAAGGGAAGAGTTTAAAGTTTCATACCCTAACAGGTTTCAGAGGAACAGCCGTGTTAGTCTGTATTCGCAAAAAGAAAAGGAGTACTTGTGGCACCTTAGAGACTAACCAATTTATTTGAGCATGAGCTTTCGTGAGCCACAGCTCACTTCATCAGATGTGTACCGTGGAAACTGCAGCAGACTTTATATACACACAGAGAATATGAAACAATACCTCCTCCCACCCCACTGTCCATTGTTTCATACCCTAACAGAAGATTCCAGTGCATGTATGTTAAAGCAAAGTCTCAAGCTTTTTCTTAATAGATGTTATCTTGTGAACAACCTCCCTTTCTATTCCCTGACTGGCCACTCTGCCTCCCATTCATCAGCAAATAATATCCCTGTGTCAGCAAGAGCAAATGCTAAAATGGATGGGTCATGTTACAACTATTTATGTATTTTAATACATACATTTGGTAGTTGAATATAAATTGAAGTAGCAGCAATATGTGACCAGCCAGCTCCCTATGGACCATTGGCAGACCACAGACCAGTTTGAGGAGCACTGTATTAAACACAGGGGCGGGCAAACTTTTTGGCCTGAGGGTTTCAGAAATTTTATGGAGGGCCAATTGGGGAGGCTGTACCTCCCCAAACAGCCAGGCATGGCCCGACACCCACCCCCTATCCCCACCCCCCCGACAGCCCTGCCCCTGGGACTCCTGCCCCATCCGACCACCCTGTTCCCTGACGGCCACCCGGGACCTCTGCCCCATCCGTCCCTCCCCACTCCCTGTCCCCTGACCGACCCCGGAACCCCTGCCCCTGACTGCCCCCATTCAACCCCCTGTTCCCTGTCCTCTGACCACCCCGACCCCTATTCACACCCCCACCCTCTATCCAACAGCCCTGCTCCCTGCCCCCTTACTGCCCTGCCTGGAACACTGGTGGCTGGCGGCGTTACAGCCGCACCGCCCGGCTGGAGCCAGCCATGCACCGCGCAGCACAGAGCACCGGGTCAGGCCGGGCTCTGCAGCGGTGCTGCCCCAGGAGCTCGCAGCCCCGCTGCCCAGAGCATTGCGCCGGCAGCACAGTGAGCTGAGGCTGTGGGGGAGGAGGAACAGCAGGGGAGGGGCCGGGGCTAGCCTCTGGGGCCAGGAGCTCAGGGGCTGGGCAGGAAGGTCCCGTGGGCTGGATGTGGCCCGTAGTTTGCCCACCTCTGGTATTATCATGTTAATGGTCACTCCGACCTGAGAAGTCTAAAAATTCAGACTGTAAAAAGGTACCATAGCACCTTTTCTCTCTTAATGCCTTAAGCATTTTCATTATGCAGGACATGGGCAGGGTGGGGGCAGGGAGAGCAGTCAGATAGCCTGGGCAATGGGAACATGTAATGAGACACACACTGGGGGAAACGTTGTCCAAAATGAAATGTCGTGGATTTATGATTAAAAAAATATTTATCACCTTCCACTCCTTTGAGGTCAGTTTTCTGATGCACACATGCATCAAAGACAGACAGACTGTGTTTGAATAAAAGTACACCAGCATATCTAGAAGAAAAGGCTGTGAATTTGATGAAGCATCATGATCTCTTACTCCAGTCAAGCTTTAGGCCCAATGCCTCAGTCCTGCAAGCAGATCCACAGAGACTGATCATTGTACCTGTGTACAGCACTCCACTGCAGATCCAATAGTAGAATTGGGACATAGGCTTGAAAAGAATGGAAAAAATTCACATGAAGTGTGTCATATTATATCAATACCGATAAAGATAGAATTGAGTTTTATTTGAACAACATCTGAGATGAGACTCCTGTAGAAAGATTAAACATAAGGCCTATAGCAAGAGCCCAATAGTGTCTGAAAGGGTTATTAATGGCTCAGTGGTTAAGGCACTGGAATAGTGAATATGAACCACCAAGTTGCCTTCCAAGTGTTAAAACTGCTTCTTTAAGGGTACATTTCCACTACAATTATAATCTATATGTAAGTCTCACTAGTGTAGCTATGTCACTTAGAGGTGTGTGATTTTTACCGATATTTTTATACCAGTAAAATCCTTAGTATGGAAAGAGTTATACCAGTATGAAGGTGGTATAGAGGGGTGGCAGGCCTCTCAGGAGCTTCCCCTTGGCAGAGTGCATATGCAAGCCCTTTCTCTCCCTGTAGCCCTCCTTGGGCTAAGGCCCTTAATTAGTCCTGTAGTCTTTAAATGGCCTTGACCCTGGTACTGAGCTGTACCCCAAGGCGATTTCCCTGAAGGCAATATCCACGTCCTCTCTAGGCCTTTCTGTCCCCAGCTCTCCTCCTGGGCTACTAAAAGGGTTCAGTTCCCCTTCTGAGGTGTATCAAAGTCCAGGTCACTTCCCCAGTGGCCAACAGGGGAGACCCAGGCCCACCCACTACTCTGGGTCCCAGCCCAGGGACCCTATAATAGCAGCCATCCACTCTGTCCCTTTATGTACACTGAGTTACTGCTATGATTTCCTGGGCCACTCCCCCCCAGGCCCAGCACATTCTTCACCCTTACCTCAGGGCCTTGTCCTGGTTGAATCCCAGCAGCCAGCCAGGAGCTCTTCCTTCCTCCCCCAGGTCTCTGCTAGCACTGCTCTGTCTGAGGTCCTGTAGCTTCATCAGCCAGCCAGGCACACCATCCATTCTCCTCCACCTCCAGCAAGGAACTGAACTCACTCTGGCCCTCCAGCTCCTTTTATACTAACCTGCTGAGCCCTGATTGGCTGCATCCCCAGAAGCCTCTCTAGGCCACATGGAGAACTCCACTCTACTACCTTTTTCTGGGGTGGGATGTGGTAAGACTACAGGGCCCTCCAGGGGGCCTCAAAGGGTCTGGTACACCCCCTCACAGGTGGTTATACAGCTATTCCCCTTGCTGTATGGGTGACTAAGGCCTGATCTACACTTAAAAATTTTGCTGGCAAAGCTATATAGGTTAGGAGTATGAATAAAAAAAAAAATTACCCTCGAGATCCACACAGCTATGCTAGCAAAAGTCCCAATATAGATGCAGTTATATCAATAATAATGTCCTTTTGCAAAAACATAGCTTATTATGTTTGGGGAAACTGGTATAACCTACACGAGCAAGAGTTCTTTTGCCAGTATAAGCTGTGTCTCCACCTGTTTTGCTATTATAGCTACATCAGCAAACCCTTCCTAGCAGAGACAAGGCCTAAGATGACATGATACTGAACACAATTTTAGAGTCTGTCAATGTAGACTACGGCAAGTTGTGTTCAGTAATGTGTTGACTAATAATGATTGAAACCTGCTGGAGTCCTCATCAGGATCAGGGCTTAATGTTTAATGCTAACACACCTGCACTTTGGAAGAGTTAAACACAAGAAAGGATATCAGAGCTGTCACAACCCCTGTCACTGCTCCCATCATGAAAGAGCCACTGAATATTCCAAGGAAAACTCCAACTGATTTGAAAAATGCTGCGGCATCAAACGCATGGGTGTTTTCACCTGTTGGCTGGTAGGCAACTATGGATCTAGGGAGGGGAAAAAAAGAAAAAGAGTCAGATGACAATGGAGGAGTTAGTGATGGCAACAAAATCTTTTATGCCAGATCATTAAGCAAAGGAATATTATATTCTGCTAGATTCAGATTCTAAATGCCAATTCTGGTTGAGTCCCAGCAGCCAGCCAGGAGTTCCTTCTTGGGTGTGTAATCAGGAAGGCCAAGGCACGACTGGAGTTGCAGCTAGCAAGGGATATGAGGGTAACAAGAAGGGCTACAGGGAAAGTAATCAATAAGATGGTCAGGGAAGGTGTGGGACCCTTACCGAATGGGAGAGGCAACCTAGCGACAGGTGATGTGGAAAAAGCTGAAGTACTCAATGCTTTTTTTGCCTCAGTCTTCACAGACAAGGTCAGCTCCCAGACTGCTGCACTGGACAACACAGTATAAGGAGGAGGTGAGCAGCCCGCAGCGATGAAAGAGCTGGTTAAGGACTATTTAGAAAAGCTGGACATGCACAAGTCCATGGGTCCAGATCTAATGCATCCAAGGGTGCTGAGGAAGTTGGCTGATGTGATTGCAGAGCCATTGCCATTATCTTTGAAAATTCGTAGTGACTGAGAGAGGTCCCGGATGATTGGAAAAAGGCAAATATAGTGCCCATATTTAAAAAAAAGGGAAGAATGAGAACCTGGGGAACTAAAGACTGGTCAGCCTCACGTCAGCCCTGGAAAAATCATGGAGCAGGTCCTCAAGGAATCTATTTTGAAGCACTTGGAGGAGAGAAAGGTGATCAGGAACAGTCAACATGGATTCACCAAGGGCAAGTCATGCCTGACCAAACTGATTGCCTTCTATGATGAGATAACTGGCTCTGTGGATATGGGGAAAGCGGTGGATGCAATATATCTTGACTTTAGCAAAGCTTTTGATACGGTCTCCCACAGTATTCTTGCCAGCAAATTAAAGAAATATGGATTGTATGAATGGACTACAAGGTGGATAGAAAGCTGGCTAGATGTTGGGCTCAACGGGTAGTGACCAACGGCTCGATGTCTAGTTGGCAGCCAGTATCAAGCAGAGTGCCCCATGGGTCAGTCCTGGGGCTGGTTTTTTTCAACATCTTTATTAATGTCCTGGATGATGGGATGAATTGTACCGCCAGCAATTTCACAGATGACACTAAGCTGGGGGGAGAGGTAGATATGCTGGAGGGTAGGGATAGGGTCCAGAGTGACCTAGACAAATTGGAGGATTGGGCCAAAAGAAATCTGATGAGGTTCAACAAGAACAAGTGCAGAGACCTGCACTTGAGAAGGAAGAATCCCATGCACCGCTACAGGCTGGGGACCAACTGGCTAAGCAGCAGTTCTGCAAAAAAGGACCAGGGGGTTACAGTGGACGAGAAGCTGGACATGAGTCAGCAGTGTGCCTTGTTGCCAAGAAGGTCAATGGTATATTGGGCTGTATTAGTAGGAGCATTGCCAGCAGATCGAGGGAAGTGATTATTCCCCTCTATTCAGCACTGGTGAGGCCACACCTGGAGTACTGGGTCCAGTTTTGGTTCCCCCACTGTAGAAGAGATGTGGACAAATTGGAGAGAGTCCAGCAGAGGGCAACGAAAATGATTAGGGGGCTGGGGCACATGACTTATGAGGAGAGGCTGAGGGAATTGAGCTTATTTAGTCTGCAGAAGAGAAGAGTGAGGGGGGATTTGATAGCCGCCTTCAACTACCTGAAGGGGGCTTTCAAAGAGAATGGAGCTTAGCTGTTCTCAGTGGTGGCAGATGACAGAACAAGAAGCAATGTTCTCAAGTTACAGTGTGGGAGGACTACGTTGGATATTAGGAAACTATTTCACTAGGAGGGTGGTGAAGCACTGGAATGGGTTGCCTAGGGAGGTGGTGGAATCTCCATCCTTAGAGGTTTTTAAGGCCCAGCTTCACAAAATCCTGGCTGGGATGATTTAGTTGGTGTTGGTCCTGCTTTGAGCAGGGGTTTTGACTAGATGACCTCCTGAGGTCTCTTCCAACCCTAATAGTCTGTGAGTCTCTTCTGCCTGATTCATTACACATAGGGTGACCAGATATCCTGATTTTATAGGGACAGTTCCAATTTTGGGGGCTTTTTCTTATATAGGCCCCTATTACCTCCCATGCCCATCCCGATTTTTTACACTTGCTATCTGATCACCCTAATTACACACCTGTGTAGCATAGACAAAAACGTTTATCAATTCAGTTCACAAGGCAGAATCCATTTAGAAAAAGAAATGTGGAGATTAAGATTTTAGAAAAATTATATGATTTACAGCTACCACCTAAATCACAACAAGAAATAGAAAATTTCACATAGCGGAAGCCTGAATTGTTACTTACGAAGACAATACAATGGCAACAGCATCATTTAAAACACTCTCTCCAAACAGAAGGGCATAGAGATCGACATCAGCATGTAGTTCATTAAATATTGCCAGCACGGTAACTACAAAAATAATAAGAAGGAACATGTGCATTAGTTTATTGTGAGTGCTTGTGAGCTGGAAGGAGCAGACATTTTCCAATTTGCCTAAAGAAGCAGAAACCATAGACTGTGGAACAACTTCAAACCAAAACGGGAAAGACTTTAGTCATATTTAATTAAGAGTCATGCTGTACAGGTAAATTGTCTGTTGGAGGAGGAATGACCATTTTAGGGCACACTTGTTCCAAAATAGGTCTGGCTCACTCACTGTCTCTCTCACACACAAGAAATTTCTCTAAGAAGTCCTCCAAACCATTGGACATAAATAGGAAAGAGTTCCACTCTGCCAGAATCCTACTATTTTTTAAACAATACGTCCAAGTTCCACAGTCAAATAGCCAGAAAAAAGTTGTGGACTGGTAACAAACAACAGAAGGCTTTTACAGCTTTTTCACACAAATCTTTAGTATTTCAGTTCTTTCAAAAAAAACAAAACAAAACAAAAAAAAACCACCATGAAGAACAAAAAACATAAAACCATTCGTAAGTACCTTGTCCAAAAAGTACACTCTATGTTATAAACATATTTGCAAACAGAAATTGAGAAGGACCAGACAAGACTAGTAATTATTCAAAGCAATCCTTTTGAACAATACCTTCAGTCTGATATTGAGGAAGAAGGTTCTGGAGACTCACCCCATGTGTATCTTATTTTCATGCATCATATGCCAGTTTCCATGTAAAAGGAAGCAGAAGTGAATCCAACTACCAGCAGTCCATCTTAACTGCTGGCTTCCACTTCCCATTTTCACAAAAACAGATATTGAATATGTAAAAAAAGTGTGTTTTAAAATATAGTTCCTGCTTTGTACTTCAGACAGACAGACAGACACACGCACGCACAACAGTTCTCCAGAGATGTTGGTTTCCAAAACTTAGACAACTTTAATGGGTCTGTAGCACTGAAATTTGAAGACACCATCTCAAAAAAGGTTAAACAGTTGGCTATAAACAAAAAAGTGTCCTTATACTTGAAATACTAAAATATATTAAAATAAAAAAAAACCTTAAATTTTCAAAAAAGGTTGTGCCTATTTTATAAAAAGTAATACTATATTTCAAGCAGTGAATCTATAAAGGGATAGCCAGGCTCTCCAGAAAATGAAAAGATTACATTCATTCAACTGAATTAAAGTTTATATTCATGAAAGGAAAACTCTATTAAGGAAAACATATCAGTACATTTTGTTTCTAAACGTGTTGTCTAGCCAGATACTAGCACAGTCTTTGCCAGATACCAACTTTCCTGATGCCCAATATATACACATCATACAGTACATACACACAGTTACCATTGTAATGTAACTGAAAAGAAAAAAAAAATTAGAATTATCAGCTATACATCCTCAAAAATGTGTTATCAATGGAATAATTTAAGTAACTGCAGTACCTGGATCAGTAGCAGATATGACCGCTCCGAAGAGGAGACAGTCTGTATAGTAAAATTTATCAGAGAGTTGTCCCACCAACTTCATTAGTTTTACAACACCATACATGAGATTCCTGCAGTAAAAGAAGATAAAGCAGTGTTTATCAAAACAGGGAGGGTCTCCTTTGTGAGGCTCTGAAGAGTATAGGAAAGATAAAATCATCTCATCACTGCTCAGGTAGGCCTTGCCTCACTAAGTGTGTGTGTGTGTGGGGGGATTATCTACACTTGTAATGTTACAGCTTTGGCGTAGGTAGTGCCTACACTGATGGGAGGGGTTCTCCCATTGGCCTAAGTCAGTGGTTTTCAAACTTTTTTTCTGGCGACCGAGTTGAAGAAAATTGTTGATGCCCACAAACCACGGGAGCTGGGGCAGAGGGGTGTGGGAGGGGCTCAGGGCTGGGGCAGAGGGTTGGGGTGAGGGCTGCAGGGTGGAGCCAGGAATGAGGGGTTCAGGGTGTGGGAGGGGGCTCTGGGCGAGGGGTGCAGGCTCTGGGGTGGGGCTGGGGATGAGGGGTTTGGAGTGCAGGAAGGGGCTCCAGGTTTGGGGAAGGTTCAGGGCCGGGGCAGGAGATTGGGGCAAAGGCTTACCTCCAGCAGCTCCTGGTCAGCGGCGCAGAGGGGGTGCTAAGGCAGGCTTTCTGCCTGTTCTGGCACTGTGGACCACGCTGTGCCCCAGAAGCAGCCAGCAACAGGTCCAGCTCCCAGGCAGATGTGCACAAGCAGCTCTGTGTGGCTCTCGCCCACAGACACTGCCCCCCCTACCCAGCTCCCATTGGCCGGGAAGCAGCCAACGGGAGTGCAGAGCCAGTGCTCAGGCAGCGCGCGGAGCCCCATGGCACCCCAGCCTGGAAGCCAGACCTGCTGCTGGCTGCTTCCAGGGCATAGCGAGGTGTTGGAACAGGTAGGAACCAGCCTGCCTTAGCTGGGCAGCACCACCCACGGGACTTTTAACAGCCTGGTCGGCAGTGCTGACCAGAGCTGCTGTGACCAGTGCTTTACATTCCGCAACCCAGTTCTGGGTCGCAACCCGCAGTTTGAAAACCACTGGCCTAGGTAGTACACATCCTTGAGTAGCAGTAACTAGGTCCATGGAAGAATTCTTCCATCGATCTAGCGCTGTCCACATGGGTACTCAGGTCAGCTTCACAACGCCTCTCAGGGGTATGGATTTTTCACACCCAACTGACTGACGTAATTAAACTGACTTAATTTTCTAGTGAAGCCCAGGCCCAGAGCTCAGTATCGAACAGTGAGAGTGGAACTCTAATCTCTCAACAGATGTTTCCTCATCATCTGAGTCCAGAGTGTGGTATTACCCAACACAGGTCATTTAGTACCTAGGAAGTCAGAAATATAGTCTGTCCTCATGATTAAAACACACAATCCAACAATTTCCCCCAATGAATTGTGTAGTACTTAAGGAAGGAACTTTGCACTGTAACAGCTATTAAATTATTTTTTCCTCTGCAGTGAAATTCCCTCAAGATAGCAAATGCAATAAAGCAGCTACTGAGTATATATACACACATTAAAGCTCTTCTAAAAGTCCACATGCTGAAAAGATGCAACATTGTTAACAGAATAAGCATTCACAATCAAAACCATTTTGCTTGTGTGTCTTATTTTTAAGTAGGTGAAAGAGGATGCTTCTAAAAGCTGAGTCAAGACTCTTGGTTAGCAGTTGCCTCTATTCTCTGGATGAATGTATCTTCATTAGAAATAGAGGCCAATTCATGTAGAATCAAGTATTTTGTAAAGTTTTGTTTTCATAACTGATTAATTGAACCAACAGAAACTTGGATCTCTAGGACTGTAGGGTTGGAAAATAGCAGTGACCACCACGGAACTGAATTGTTTGGACAAACTTCGTGGTCTGTTTCCGGCAGCTCTGTAAGAAAGCAAAACCCTATTTGAAGTCAACCAAATTCCAGCTTCATTTTAGAGGCTGAATTTTGCCAAAAGGACACACTAATAAAACCCTAATTGAAAATTTACAGTCACTATTCTAATCACTAGAAATCCGAAGTTCAGGGAGCTATGGCATTTATTTCATTAACTTAAAACTAGCACATAAAAGTTGCACAATCTCACAAAGCTCACTCACCCGATAATAAAACAAGAGACTGCAGTTCCTAAAAAGGCATAAGCCAGAATAGACCCCAGATTCCTGAAAAAGTGCCTCTGTATGAGAAAAAAAATTATATTAAAGCTCAGCTATGTGAAAACTCAGACATCAACAAAATGTATAGCACAGCCCTACAGCAATATAACGAAACAGCCTTCCACTCTGGGAGGAAATAATATTTTCAATCTTACTATGTAAATCTTCTGTAATATTTAAACAAATTTAATACAAGTCCCCCCGAATCATGTTTAAAATCTTATGTGGGGCTTGTTGAGACACAGCTTTATAACCAGATGCTTGTGTGACTAATTTAACAGAGGGCCAAGACTTTAAAAGGAAAGTAACTGAAAGTGATGGCCCTAAGTCAAAGTGTAGTCCTGAATTTCCATCCTCCAATATTCAGAGGTGTTCAGATCACAGTTTAGGTTTGGGCCCATCTCTCTAAAAGTAACTCACTGAATGCATAAAATGCAGAGGAAAACCAGACAATTCACAGGGATATATTGTTTATCTTGCTTATTCAATAGCAATGTTCAGGGGTAAATAATGTAAAAACACATAACTAATACAGCAGTCTATATATTGGATGGTAAAATAATATACTTTCTCTTAAAACTAGCCAACTGTTTAGAAACAATGGATGAGACTGTCTAGCTTTGCAAGAGGCACCACAGAAGAGACACTTGTGCTCAGGACTGTGGCACTAATGGAGATTGTACTCTAGCTGTTAGTGATTCAGCATTAGGCTGAAAGTGTCATGGTTACATTCTCAGATAGTGCTTACACTTACCTTCTTCAAGCTGTACCCAGCATGGAAAATAATAGGAGGCAACAGAATGTTGAAGAAAACTTCTGGGTCAAATGTTACCTTTAAAAAAATGTAAAAGTCCATTTAAAACCAAAAAAAGAACAGAGTACACAGACAGCAGTTGCCAATAAAATCCTTACAATTTTACCTTTGGAAGTAGTAAATGTTAAACAATTTGCTAGGTATTTTCTTTACTATCCATGAAATAACATTATATACGTGCAAAGGCAAAGAAATGAAGATTTTAATAGAGACCACTGTATTTGGAGAACTTTGGTATGACAACATATTCAGGGTTCTTCTAGAGCTTAACAGTCCCAACTGGTAGTCCCCTCCTTAAATGAGCCAGAAACACAAATTTAGATTCAGAAGGTGCTGGATAAAGCCCCTTATCATGGTGTCAACCAGGATGTTTGTGCAGATTTCTGGTTCTTATTTGTAGTGCCAACACCATTTACACTTAAAAAACACCACATCTTTTGCATATAATTACCATATGAGTAAGTCACCCAAACCACAGGCATGTGCGCGCACACACACACACACACAGATATTTTCTTCAGTGGAAGTTGTAAGTGTCAAGACCCAATGAACGCCAGGCCAAATTGTTCAAGACAGCAAAAGAATTTAAAACGGAAGATACACCAGCGATTGTGAAAAGTCAGTGATCAGTACTACTAGAAAACTGTTGTGTCTAACTTAGGGTTCATATATAGACTCCCAGTTTCAGGTATTTTACATTTGATGGAAGGGGGGGAGAAATGAAACTAGTTTTTCCTTGAACATAACTGAACTAAAAAAAATAGAGAAGAAAAATCAAAGATGCTAAGTGTAGAAAAGTCCCTGTACTATAGGACTGAGTTGGAACTCAGTAGCAATTAGCGTCTTGACGTGGATCCATAAATGTTAGCTAATTATACAGAAATGGCTTTGGTTATACTGAGCATACATTAATTCTTGAACTGTTATGAAAGGACATGTGAACACTAGGATACAAAGAACATACAATTTTGCCAATGAATGCTATGCAGAGGACACTTTTGAATGAGTTTAAATAATTTAGTTCTATTACATCTGGAAATACAGTACTTAATATCATACCATACACTCAGTTTGGAGGAGAAGGGAAGTGTGGGTAAAAAGAGCAGCGTGAAACAGGAAATGTCACCTATGCAGCAGTCATTCACAAAATAGGTCAATAGTTATTCACAAAAACTCAACTATCCTTACCTTTCGCAACATGTCATTCTGTTCCACGTTGTGTATTTTTCCAGGGCTTATTTCTCCTTTAAGGGTGTACTCAAAAAACTTTCCACTGACATTGACCAACAGCGTTGTAAATGGTCTGTCCTCCTGCGAGCAGCTGAATGGCTTGTCATGGCCATTGCTGGAGGGAGAACCATATCTCAAGATCACCCCAACAATGAGTCCTGAAAGACAGAATGTTTTTAAGAGTCTGTAATTACATGAATTTGGCATAAGCGGAGAGTTTCTAGATTCAAGTATCACTCAGTGCACAATACGTGGAAGGGAACATACCATGTACATATTTGTAGTGACCAACTTACTGATGTTTCTAAATTAGGGATGCTCAAAGCAGGTCAGGATTAAAGATGGTACCATCCTCAGGGAACGGATGGCCAGGATCCCCTGGGGGACTAACTTGAAGGGGAAAGGAGTCCAGGAGAGCTGGCTGTATTTCAAGGAATCCCTGTTGAGGTTACAGGGACAAACCATCCCAATGAGTCGAAAGAATAGTAAATATGGCAGGCGACCAGCTTGGCTTAATGGTGAAATCCTAGCGGATCTTAAACATAAAAAAGAAGCTTACAAGAAGTGGAAGGTTGGACATATGACCAGGGAAGAGTATAAAAATATTGCTCGGGCATGTAGGAATGATATCAGGAGGGCCAAATCGCACCTGGAGCTGCAGCTAGCCAGAGATGTTAAGAGTAACAAGAAGGGTTTCTTCAGGTATGTTGGCAACAAGAAGAAAGCCAAGGAAAGTGTGGGCCCCTTACTGAATGAGGGAGGCAACCTAGTGACAGAGGATGTGGAAAAAGCTAATGTACTCAATGCTTTTTTTGCCTCTGTTTTCACTAACAAGGTCAGCTCCCAGACTGCTGCGCTGGGCATCACAAAATGGGGAAGAGATGGCCAGCCCTCTGTGGAGATAGAGGTGGTTAGGGACTATTTAGAAAAGCTGGACGTGCACAAGTCCATGGGGCCAGACGAGCTGCATCCGAGAGTGCTGAAGGAATTGGCGGCTGTGATTGCAGAGCCATTGGCCATTATCTTTGAAAACTCGTGGCGAACCGGGGAAGTCCCGGATGACTGGAAAAAGGCTAATGTAGTGCCAATCTTTAAAAAAGGGAAGAAGGAGGATCCTGGGAACTACAGGCCAGTCAGCCTCACCTCAGTCCCTGGAAAAATCATGGAGCAGGTCCTCAAAGAATCAATCCTGAAGCACTTGCATGAGAGGAAAGTGATCAGGAACAGCCAGCATGGATTCACCAAGGGAAGGTCATGCCTGACTAATCTAATCGCCTTTTATGATGAGATTACTGGTTCTGTGGATGAAGGGAAAGCAGTGGATGTATTGTTTCTTGACTTTAGCAAAGCTTTTGACACGGTCTCCCACAGTATTCTTGTCAGCAAGTTAAGGAAGTATGGGCTGGATGAATGCACTACAAGGTGGGTAGAAAGCTGGCTAGATTGTCGGGCTCAACGGGTAGTGATCAATGGCTCCATGTCTAGTTGGCAGCCGGTATCAAGTGGAGTGCCCCAAGGGTCGGTCCTCGGGCCGGTTTTGTTCAATATCTTCATAAATGATCTGGAGGATGGTGTGGATTGCACCCTCAGCAAGTTTGCGGATGATACTAAACTGGGAGGAGTGGTAGATACGCTGGAGGGGAGGGATAGGATACAGAAGGACCTAGACAAATTGGAGGATTGGGCCAAAAGAAATCTGATGAGGTTCAATAAGGATAAGTGCAGGGTCCTGCACTTAGGACGGAAGAACCCAATGCACAGCTACAGACTAGGGACCGAATGGCTAGGCAGCAGTTCTGCGGAAAAGGACCTAGGGGTGACAGTGGACGAGAAGCTGGATATGAGTCAGCAGTGTGCCCTTGTTGCCAAGAAGGCCAATGGCATTTTGGGATGTATAAGTAGGGGCATAGCGAGCAGATCGAGGGACGTGATCGTTCCCCTCTATTCGACATTGGTGAGGCCTCATCTGGAGTACTGTGTCCAGTTTTGGGCCCCACACTACAAGAAGGATGTGGATAAATTGGAGAGAGTCCAGCGAAGGGCAACAAAAATGATTAGGGGTCTGGAACACATGACTTATGAGGAGAGGCTGAGGGAGCTGGGATTGTTTAGCCTGCAGAAGAGAAGAATGAGGGGGGATTTGATAGCTGCTTTCAACTACCTGAAAGGGGGCTCCAAAGAGGATGGCTCTAGACTGTTCTCAATGGTAGCAGATGACAGAACGAGGAGTAATGGTCTCAAGTTGCAGTGGGGGAGGTTTAGATTGGATATTAGGAAAAACTTTTTCACTAAGAGGGTGGTGAAACACTGGAATGCGTTACCTAGGGAGGTGGTAGAATCTCCTTCCTTAGAGGTTTTTAAGGTCAGGCTTGACAAAGCCCTGGCTGGGATGATTTAACTGGGAATTGGTCCTGCTTCGAGCAGGGGGTTGGACTAGATGACCTTCTGGGGTCCCTTCCAACCCTGATATTCTATGATTCTATGATTCTATGCTGGTTTCAATTTAACTGAATAGCAAAATTTAAAAAGTGAAATTGAAACTGTTCCTATTTCTTTCTATGTACTCCTCTATCATGGGGAATTATCATTCAGAATTGTGCTGAAAGCCATATAATTGTAAAATACAGAAAATAAACCACTGTACATTGGCAACATCCCACAGAGATACCAATGCTAACAAATACCAGTTTTAAAATAGTTTGCAAGTTATTTAATTGAAACAAATATATCTATTTTGCCACAGTATTTCACTTATAGAGTAACATGAAAGCATCACTGCTATAATTCTGCAACCAACATCAGAGAGAGAAAGAGGGAGACGTTCAGTGCATTGCAAATTTAGCAACCAATCATCCAGACAATATGCACCAGGAGCCAGCTGCATTTCAGCGAAGCCATTTGCTGCAAAGGATTTCCATTTCAGTTAAGAACAGGTCTCCATCTTTCACAAAGGTGAAAATAAACACAGTAAGATGGTGCATTGCTCATACGATACGTGAAAACTGCTCTAAAGCTTTAGAGGAAGACGAATTACTCAGCTAGCCCGCAGAAAACAAAAACTATTACTAGGGAAAGATATAGAATAGTACAAAGCAGGAATGAATGATTTGTACCCTCTCAAAATATAGTTTAAGGGAAGGCTCATGCAAGAAAGTTGGATAAGCACAGAATGGGATTGTGATTGTGCTCAGTCCTTATCCATTATTATGCTCCAAAAGAACGAGATTTTAATCCAGCACTGAGAATCCACAGGAACGACCTCAGTATGAACTGGAGTCAGCAAAACCAAGCTAAAAATATAAAGTCACCACTACTCTTGTCACGGGAAAATGAACAAATTGCCAAGCCTTTGGTCAAGGTGGTTATTTCTAATATCATTGTGTCTAGCCACTGTTCCGGGTGCTTTTGTCAGAAGTAGTAAGAAACTGAATGGCAACCTCAGGTCACCTTTGCTCACTGTGGGCCTGATCCTCCCTTCCCCACAGAAGCTTGTTTCCCCTAGACTGTAGCCAACTGAAGTAAATAAAAAACAACAGCCAAAGGAAGGATGAGATAACAGAGAAGCTTTTTATTTTTATGGCATCAATCTTTCCAAAGGTCAAAAAGAAAAGAACATTTCCTCTTAAACTCATAGCAGAAATGCCAGATTTCATTTAGGAACAGATAGCATACCAGATCACTGGAATAAGTCTCAAATGCCTGTACGAACAGCATTAGAGCAGTCAGCCTCACATCCCACTGTTTTTATAATCAACAAAGTGCTGGCAACTGAGAAACTGAAAGGCATTGATAGAGCTTGTTAATTGTATTTCCCAGGCTTCTTTTGCCTGGCATCCAGAAGAGAAGAATTTATATTGAAAAATTGCCATCGTACAAGCAAAGCAAACTGTTTTTATTACCTAGCAGCAATTAACTGTTACTGAAAAATCCCAAAGAGTCTCAAAAATTCACGAGACTGATTTCTTATCAGTACCAAACATTCAGGTAATTAAATTTCACATTTATATTGAACTTTTAATCCCCAATGATCCCAAAGCATTTTACAAACTACACAGAGGACACAAGAGAAATGTGGGGCAGATGGCTACAGTTAGTCAACATACAGCACCCTATACAACAGTTCAGGCAAGGGAAATTTGGCCAAGCTTAATGGTGCAAATTCTCATAGTTTGCACAGTTGTCTCTCCTCACACTTGTAGAAAACTCTGTTGATGGAATGTGTTGTTTTATTTCATTTTCTGAGAGGAAGATTTTTAACCTGGATAAATAATTGTTTTAGATCAAGATAGCTGAAATGAACTGCAGTCTCACTTATTGTTTACTAAAATTTAATAGACACAATTTTATACAGGTAATGGAAGGAGAAAACCTCCAGCAAAGAAGAGGACTGTGGCTACAGCTAGACTAAGACTTCAACTTGGAAGACTGTTTGTATTTGATTTTTGTTGGAGATGTGGAGGTGAAGTTTCCCTCTTTTAGCTAGACCTGGAAACTACCATCATCTGCTTAATTCTTTACACATAAAAGTTGGAAATCCCCCTTGCTATTGTATTAGTCAGTCCTATTGTAGTGTTGTACATAATCTTATTATAGAATTGGATCCAATCTACTCTTTTTCTGTAATCAAAACTAAAGCAGTTCATTTAAAAGTTTTAGGCGAGATATATTTATAACTAATCTGCATCTTTTAAAAATTAAACATACTTTGTGTAATCATTATATAGATATAAATAAAAAATTCAAAGCAATAATCAAAGCAGCCATCTGGAAAGTACCCTAAAACATGTATGTATTTATTCTGTACTGATGTAACATCAGTGCTTAGCTGCAGCTGAATGGGGATTCACACAACGTAGCCATGTCTGGACCCACCCTCCTCACTGAGCACAGAGTCTGGCGACAGTACGCAACATCAGAAACCAAGTTCTCCAAATGTCCACCCCTGCTTATAAAATTCTTCATTTCTTATCTCTGGGTTTCCATTACCTGAAGGGGTGGGTGGTCATCAGAAGCAACACAGCATTACAGAGGGAGAATGCAGACAGACAGGGCACAGATTGAGGAGAGTGTCATAAGTACATGGAAACAGGCATAAATGGAGGAAGGGACTTGCATAGGGCTTCTCCTATCATTTCACAATATCTATGGCTAGCCACAT